GCATATATAATAATTCCTGAAAAGTCACTATTTCTTTGAGGACAAAAGCTGTCTGCTTAGCTTTTCAGCTAAGTTTGAATCTCTGATCTTCATCATATGATTAAAAAGGAATATTTGTGTCAGCTGACATAGTGATGGCTTGAAGAATCCTTTTAAAAATGTCAAAAGCCCTCACAATCTAAGTAACTTCTTTCATTAGCATTTAATTTAAATATCAGAGTGTCACAGAGACGTGAAAGGCTTTGTGATGCGATTCTTTATAAAAGAAATTGTTGCTTATGAAGACAAAGTTGTCAAACATTGCAAAATGCAACATGGAATTATGCTCAGCCATGTTTCAGGTCTTCTGCCAACTTTGGTTTTTACTATAGAATGTTTAGTAGTCTAAAATAGCAGGAGGCTGGTTTCCAGTGTTTTCCAAAGATAATTTTATATTTAGACGCAGGGCTGTATTGTGGAGCCATGAGGCTCTTGGTTCAATATCCAGCATGAAAAGAAAATAATTTTATATCTAAAAGTACTTATGCCCTATTTCATATTGTCTTAACTAATAACTTTTGGCCAAAAAGAGATCACACCTTGCCATAATTTATGAACCTGTATATTAACTACCTCTGTCAAAATCACAATTGTCCCCAATACTATCTCCTTAATCTCAGCTTTTGAAAGAATGGAAGTAATGTTGTCCTTATTGTATAATACTTTTGTAATTGTTTCAAAACAAAATATGTCTCAAACTTTCTTTTGTCAACTGTGTTGCCACCTAATGCATAACTGCTGCCAAAGAATATTTTTTATTCTTCCTAGACAACAACACTAATTAGCAAAGATCAAGAAGTCTTCCTTTGAGATACCCTACATTCTTGCTAAAGTGGACTACTGCCTCTTTCCTTAGTAAGTATCCATTTTTAAAATTTTTACAGCTCTGTAATTTTGCTGACACTGTTCTGTTTCCAATATCTTTCCCTTTCTTTTCTACTTTGAAAATGACTGTCTTTCAGAAATGTGATACCTGTCCCTCTACAATCCTTCTAGCACAAAGACTATAGCTCCTGTGAATGCTATACTGAATGTGATCAACCATGTTCACATAAAGTATCAGGAACTGGAGGATCAAGCAGCCAACAGGACCAGAAATAAACCCTTGACAAAAGCTAAGCCAATAAGAATACTGTCAGGAGCTGGGAATCTTTGAGAGGTTAAGCAACTATCTAAGCAGAACGAACTGGATGGCTACTTATATTTTTCATTGTGACAAACCATACGGCACCATGTGTAAATTATAGTGGAGGAGAAATTATAAGCAACCTATTGAAGTCAGTCTGTAGAATATCTTCTGTACTAATTTTCATGAGAAGTTTCATTTTGGTCTCTTTTTTTGTACTCTTTTTTGTATCTTAGATACTTCTACATTAAAGAAAATATATTCTGATCACTTGGATTTTAAAGTAATTATTAAATAAAATTATAAATGTTCACTGTACTCTTATTTCTTGGGTGAAGTGAATATTGAAATTTTTCTTACCCTGAAATCTGCTAATTGAATACATACTTTTCTTTCCTTGAAATAAAAAGACCTTGAGAAAATGGTGATTCAAATACTATCACTTTTCTGAGTAGCTACAGAATAATTCAATTGTTCATATGTTGTCAAGTATTAGGACACTATAACAGTGTATATGCTTTGTTGTTCAATAGTAAGACATAAAATTACTGTGTACTGTGGACTAGACATAATGGTAAACATGATTCTCACACCTAACATTTCATATTCTCACACTTACAATACTATATTCTCTCCACATTATCAGTGAGATTATATTCTTCGCCAATCATGCAATTGGAACCTGAAGGGGCTATGAGTCCAATCACTGTGATTCCAGAGACTGTATCTTATTACTCCACCGAACCAACTTCCAGCACTAATATTTGTTTATCGTCTACTTTGGTAAATAGTGAGTACCTTAATGGTAGAAACCAACACTGTACACATTTTTTAAATGACAGCATAGTGCTCACTGAGCAAATTAATGTTAATAAATGTTTATTGAAGTAAAAATTCCTACCATTGCCTAGATTGTAGTCCTAGATTATTAAAGTGATTTTTCTAAATAATTATCATATGTCAAACATATAAAGACCCATATAAGTGTGCATATTTGTACAAATATCTGATGTCTTTTTCTGTATTGTTAATATAGAGACAAAATATTTATTTTATAAATTTGTTGTTATTTCAGAGTAATGCTTTTGAAGACATGGAAATTGTAATAATAAACTAAATGGAAGACATTTTTTTTTTAAACCGGGGCTCAAACTCATGACCTCATGCTTGCCAGGCAGGCACTTATGCTACTGAGCTAAATCCCTGACCAATGGAAGACATTTTATAGTCAGTCTTTTTCTACTTTTCTTTAAGACTAAAAGAAAGTTGACAACATGATGAAGTTAGATAATACAGCCAATTTAAAACAATTATGACTTTTTTCCCACAAGTAGAAGTAAATGCTAATATAACAATGAAATTAGAGAGTAAAGCTGATATAATTTATAAATGTATAGTTACATTATTAACTTCATGAGTTTTTACTGAAACTTGATTTACTATGGGGAAGTCCACAAATGTTTTGACCTACTGAAATATTAGTAATCATGTTTTGATCATTACTTTTAAATGCTATATCCTATCTTCATTGCAACCAATAAATGAAATAGTTAAAATATTCAGCTATGCTAGCAACACAGGAAAAGAGGTAAGGGATTTAACTTTTGTTGTTGTTGTTGTTTGGTAATTGTTTTAAAGTAAGCAGAGCAACTCACCTTCAAATGACTTCCAAGATTACTGTTTACTATAAATTTGTTAGGATAAGCCTGTATTTCCCTTCCTCTCCTTTGAGAAAACAAAGGTACTTATCATCACTAGATTAGTGATAAGCTGATATAGGGATATTTTTCCTAAGCCAGGCCTTATAGGCAGCTAGAGAAACCATGCTCTTCACTTTTAGATTTTGTGTCAAAACTCAGTCACTATGCTACAAATATATGAGGACAGGATCACAATAATTTTGTACCTATGGGTCAATATTTGTTAAAATAAAAAACTCTGGAAACATTTTAATTATTTATGACTGCTTAAATACGTTAGAATATAATGATCCAAACATATTACAATGTAATTATTAAAAAGAACAAATCATCTCTTTCTGTTACATAGGACATTCTATAAGATTCTCAGAGTGCCAGGTGCAGGACAGCATGTGGAGTGTATTAAAATAAAATACTTTGTGAAACTTTCTTATGTGCACGCATTTTCTTTTTTAAAAGTTTAAACAACCACCAGCACAAAGCATTTTAAGCAGCCTTTATCTACAGTTCTACATTCCTTAAATGATTCTCTTTTGAGTTGAATTTTATCTGTCCTCTTCCAACCTTCTAACTAACAAAATCTCTATGATTGTAATACATGTTCTTTACTGCATGAAGGTACAGTTTTTTCCTCCTGGAATCTGCTTCAGTTCTTGATTAGATATGAAGGAGACCATCCTGCTGTCTCCCCATCATCCCAAGCTGAGTTGTAGGCAGGGTGGAACTCTAGCCACAGACTGTGCAGCGCGGAGATGAGCTCTCTGGCCACTGTAGGTTCCAGTAGAAAGGAAGGGATCCAGTAACCAAGGCCCTTTTGAGCCCTGGCTCCTTCCCTCCTTAAACAGAAGGCCCTTCTTTCTTCTTTTCATGAAAGCGTTTCCTGTTTCCTCTATTGTGTTTTATTGGAGAAGGCAGGCCTTAGAATTGGCCTTTTTGGCACTTCAGAAAGCAAACACATGTAGAAAAAGAAAGTTTCTCCTGTGTGAGGAAGCTAAGACTTCAGACAAAAGGAATGTATCCTCACACATCCTGCCAGGTTCTGTCTCAGTAAAGAGGCGACTGAAGCTTGGGTCCTGTTGGCTGGGTTCCTAGACACCAAGCCATTTCCGGAAACACAAAAGCAACAGACCAGACGTTGAGGGACATCTGTGCTATTTAAGGAAACATTTGGACAATTGATCAGTTCCTACTACTCTGCCAATGGCTCGAACTTACCATTTTGTGGCTTTCATGCAGGCTTTCGTAATACTGAAGCGGAAGTATGAATCGGGAAGGTGGTTTCACCCTTTCCAAATACCAAATTTGGCATATAAACATGAAAAGATGGTTTAGATTTCATGCCAGTGAATTTGCAGTAAAACAATATATTTCTACCCTCATTTCAGTTCCTAGATTTCAGTGGAAGTAATAGTTTACTCAGCTTGCTTAGCAAGAGCAGAGAGAAATATGTGTGATTTTACTTGTTATTTAATAATTGTTTTTGAATCAAAGTTATTAGAATGCCTTCCTTATATGGAGGGGTATTAAAAATGTTTCAAATTAATTTTTTCACACACAATTGGCATTTGTCTAACTCTATTTCCATAATCACATCCTCTTCCTGCCAACCACCAAGTATTTGATACTGCTTTCGTGGTCATTACCTTTCTTGTCCAAAAGCTACTGACTATTTAGGTAATATCAAGTTACCAGAAACTCTTTTTGAATGTAGCAATTAAGATTCAGCTTCATATTATTACAATTATTTCAGTTATCAATAGACAACACATATTCTTTACTCAATATTGTCTTACATTTAGACAATATATTTTAACTTTGTCATATTTGTTTATAACACATACACACACACACACACACAAACACACACCTCTTCTAAGACCACAGTCCCAAATTATCTGCGCTTGTAACATTTCATGATATTAAATGTTCAATTTTGTTTCAAGGACTGGCATAGCCTAGAGTGAAATATAATGTAAACACTGAGACAGTGAAGGCTGATTCAGTTAGTAATTTATATGTTAAATTTTGGATATTTAACACTTATTTATTCAAGAGCTTTTTCTATTCTAGACTGTAGAATTAAAGCACAAAAGAGCTATAGATTGAGAAACTATAAGCTAAAGTTATTTATTTCAGTTCAACATAGAATATTTATTAGTCAAGATAACAATCAATGTGCACAAAAATTTACATAAAAGAAAGAATAGGCAATGCAGCACCTTTAGAAAAATAATTAAGTTTTTTTGCATTTACAGGTAAGTGCCACACTGAGAATTTACAACACAGTAATTTACTGCAACCACAAGGGAGTTTCATAAAGAAACAAAGCTCTCACACTCCACATTTTCGGAAGACATTATTGGAATGCTTAACTATAGTCACAAAATGTGTACATCCTTAGGACTGAGCTGACTAGTCATAAAAGATTTTCATAGCATATATTATATAAATGGAGTCCACTTCATTTGGACAGCCAGGTTAGTGTCGTTGACAGGTGTGAAGCCTCGAAGAATTACTGGCTTGATGGTGATCTTTCTGTATCCGGCAAGTCAGCCCTTCTCCACAGTAACAGCGCTGGAATATCTCCAGACCATGGGAGCCTTTTCTCCGGTGTTTGGTACATACTTGACCTTCTTTGAGGACAGGTTTACAGATTTTGGACCAGAAGTGTCTAGCACAACACAATCCTGTGGCACAGTCTGATGATCGAAGACAGACAGAACCTTCTTGTCCTGTGAAGGAGGACACAGTAAGAAAAGCACAGTTACTGATAAAGCTTCATCATGTCATGAAGGCAATTCAAAAGATATTTCTGACGTGTCAAAAACCAGGTATGGATCGTAAAGTGCTTTGTTCTACCTTTGGTGTGATAGATTTTGGAAGACAGTGTGGTTCTTCTGGAGTACCCATCCAAGGTGCCATGATCATTACCAAAGCTTTCAATGATGGTTTCCTCGATTTCCCCTCTATGGAAATGACTGGGATCAGAAGGCATACATATTCCTAAGGAAGCAGGAAACAGCATTAATTCCAAGGTAGCTTTCAGTTACTGCTAACAGCCAGCCAGCACAGGAGCAGTCTGCTATGCCAACACCCACCTGAGATAGTGTTATACTGACGTTCTCTTCAAAACTTGCCTAAAATCCTTCTTAGTACTTACTAATGCCAAACTACCCAAATGGACAGAAGTCTCAGTTGACAGTACACTGTATAATCATATGCAACGCCCCATACTACCCTTTAAAATACTTTCTCACTAATTGTGATAGTGGCAGTGCAATTGCTCCCCATTTTAATATCACAATAAGGTAAGAAAAAGAAAATCAGCCGCTTGGGTTTTTTTCTTAAAAATAAAATTTTTCGGCCTATACGTCTATATGAGTACAAAGTTAAACAAATATAATTCCCGCTGCCTGGAAGATTACAATTTCACCCACCAGTTACCTCACTGTATAATTTCTATATTACAGACACTGAGTTAGTTCATCCTAGAGTAGAGCTCTGTCCTAAAGAGGGTAGCCACCCTGCAAGTTTATTTCTGGAGACCTCTGCCTGAGTATCTCTTTGAGAAGTTAAATTTTTGTGGATCTGTGGTCGGGAGGAGGGACAGTTATTTTAGCAGAGGGAGGAGGGAGAAGGAAAGATGGACAGACCAAGACGCCAGGGTACCCAGCTCTCCCTTAAAAATGGCCAGCACGGATAAATCACTCCATCTCCCGGGTGGTGAGTTTTAACACCCAGGGATACCAAATAAAAGGCCAGTCTAGCAAAGCCATGATGGTCACCTTAAAACAAAATGGAACGGGTCCCAAAACACCAGTGCTGCCTTTCAGGTCTCTGACTCAGAATGCCCTCCCCCGTCCTCTTTTGCAGTTAATCCTAGGATCCCCTTAGACAAACTTATGGAAGGTCCAGTCTGAAGCAAACCTGCGTTAAACCACAGAGAAAGACAGAGTCCCCACGTCTGATTTAACCTCCTCTAGGACTAAAAACAAGTAGTCAATCTTACTTGAACCCGCTTCCTTGCACACCCATTTCTTTGCAGGTGGCGCCCCAGGACTCGCAGACGGGCGAGGCTCCCTCGCCGCTAGGCTGTCCGAGCCGCGGACTGGAGCTGGAGAGCAGCCCAGGACTCACCGTTTTTGCAGTAATTTCCCGGGCAGCACATCGCGTGGCGCATGCAGCGTTTGCGGCGCTTCCGGCAGGCGAGGCAGACCTGCACGCCGGCGCCGCCTGCGCGGGCCGGGCTGGAGCAGTACTCGTCGGTGCTGCACTCCTCGTCCTCCGCGCACGGGTAGGGCTGCGGAAAGGAGGGGGAGAGGTGAGGAGCCCACACCCCAGCGCGGCGGGGCTGGGCGCAGCGCTCCGCTGCGCGCCTCTGCACATCCACCCGCCGCTCCCGCGGGGGGCGCTTCCACGGGCGCCCGAGTCGCGCGCGCAGCACCTCTGCACCCTCCTCTCGGAATGCGAGCCCTTCGGGGTCACGCGCCCCTGGGTCCCCGCGACCCCGCTCACCTGGTAATTGTCAAGCGCCTGGTACTTGTTCCCGCCCTCGTACAGAATCCCGGGCGCGGCGCTGACCGCGGAGCCCGGGTGCCCGGCAGCGCCCCCCAGCGGCGGGGGAACGTTCTTGATGGCGTTGGAATTGACCAGAACCGAGTTCAAGGTGGCGCTCACTCGCAGCAGAGGCTGGCTGCCCAGCGCCACTGCTACCAGGGCGACCCAGAGCCGAGCAGCTCCCGCTGCGCCCAGAGCCCGCATCTCAGAAGGTCTCAAGTGGGAGACAGACCGAGAACCCAGGGGCCTCACTGTGCAAGCCGAGTCCCACCGGAGCGTGCTGGCGCGGGGTCCGAGCCGCGTCCCGGGCGTCCCAGAGTCCCAACTGCAGGGCGCCCGCAGCTCTGCGCCGCCACCGCCACCGGGGCTGCCTTTATACGGCGGGCTCCGAGCATTCCGGCCCCTGGGGGGAGACAACAAAGCCGGGATGGGATTTCAAAGCGCTGGGAGGGGCCGGGAGGGGTGTGTGTGTATGTGTGTGTGTGTGTGTGTGTGTACTTGAAGGGAGGGGGCTTTGACACTGTGCACTCAGCCCTGCTCACCTTCGAAGTGAGGGTTCTCGGGGCGCGGAGGAGCAGAGGATTTGATCATCGCTGCAGGCTGGGGAAAAGGGAGCTCGGCCCCCGGCCTTGCAATAAGGGTTGAATTATTTGCATCTGAAATACTTTTCACTGCCCAGTGGTGATACTCACTGCAAAACCACTTTTCCAACCTCTCCCTTAAGCCAGTATTTGTTTATTGTGTACGCAAACGATATTCAGTTTTTGGAAATTACCTAATCAATAATTCAAAGACCCTAGGGAACACGTCTACTAGAAGACCAGGTGTAAATTGCTGACCAAGGCTCTGCCATCAGCGATTTCCAGGTCTAGATGAGGTCTGTATCTTTAGATTCCTCCAGTTGCTGCTTCCCACCCCGCCAAAACCTCTCCCTTCCACTTTGAGGGAAAAAAAAATGTGCAAAGAAGAAAATTTGCACATCAAACAAGGATAAAAAGGGGAAAGGACTAATTCTCTTTTGATGGGAAGTTTAGAGAGGGAGGCGACAGACTGGGATTTGGAAATTAGATCGGGGTGGAGGAAAGAGGGAAATGACCATCCTCAAACTATTTAATGTGCTCTTTGAATCCAGTGGGTCGCGGCAGTAGATGAACTTGATTAGGCAGACAAGGGAGATCAAAGTGCCCAGAGCCAAATCGGACAGGGTCCACCGGGCCGGGTCAGTCGTCCCTCCTGGGCGCCCACTTCTCAGTGGAGGACTAATGGAGAGAGATAAGAACACCAAATCCTTAGCGCCTGATTTCCTCATTAGTATTTCATATCCTAAGGCTTGTGTTTGATCCCAAGGCAAACCCTTCCCTGGAAGAAGGAACCCAACCCCACCCCCACCCCCCAGAGAAGAGCTGGGAGTGAATCAAAGAGCGAATTTCACATCATTTAAATCTGTGTCTAAACAAAACACCGCTGCTGTAAAAGCAAGTTATCGTGCTTGTATTTTTTTAAATAAAAACATATTGGAAGCCTAGTTCCCTGAGGTCATTGCTTTTCCATCCAGGTTATTGTTACTTTTTTTCCTTTTTATTTTTTGAGGGATGGGGCAAGGGATGCAGTAAATATCAGTATTTAGAGAGCGACCTCACAGTAGAGAATGATGATCAAATTTTCTTTATTCTAGCCATAACAATTTAAAAGATACAATAATAGTCAAATTGTGATAATAAAAGGTGAAAGTGTACAAAATTATTTTTAAAAGCAGGCTGATTTTAACGTGAGAAAAATGAACAACTACCCTGTGAGTTTGGAAGGGAAAAGATCCTTGAAAGTCACTGTTGAATAGAAAAGAATGGAATGTAGTTCTTTGGTGCTTCTCTAGTCATTAGGTTAGCTCTACAGTTTGATAAAAAATATATGCATAAGGTTTAAATATTTGAAAATTATTACAGTAGAAGACACAAGGCATGTTCCCCTTCCACCTATTCCCCTTGATTGTGACCTCACTAATAATTTTTTTGTCCTTTCTGGAGCAATTCTGGGAGGCCTTTTTTGCAAGTGTCTTTAGATTTGCTGTCATGGCTGCCTTAAAGTCCTGAATTCATTCAAAACACTTATCCTTCATGTCATTTTGACTTTGGGGAGCAACCTAAGTCACGGGGTGCCATATCCAATGAGTGAGTAAATTAAGGTGGTTGAAAGGTTTTCATGAACCTGCCTTTCCATTTGATAGCACATGGCAGCAGTATCCAGTGTGGTTTTGATCATCTTCATAAAGACATTCTGGAAAGGAGACTTCTACAACTTCCTCAGAAAGGGACAAGAATGAAGTAGTGTGTTCCACCAATAACGTGCCTTTTACTGTAATGATTTTATTTATTTAGGTGTCCATCATGTGTTTTGGTCACACTTCAAATAATTACTCCACACGCTGACTTACTACTGTCATGACCGTGAGGGCCACTGGGTGTGACCATAGTCTTAAAGTCTTAAATCTGAGTGAAAAGGTATATTTAAAAAGCAGTTGGTGATACTCTGTGTGCTGGTTCCTTGGATTTTTGAAGTCATTGAATAATGGCTTAGAGACAATCCATAATGGTCTCTCTACCTAGAATGGTATCCTTCTCTTCAAAGTTACATCTCTCTGGGCCGGGGATACAGCACAGGGTCATAAGTAACTGCCTGGAAAACACAATGTCCTGAATTTGATTCCTTGTACCAATAAATAAATAAATAGTTCCATTTTTCTTTGGAAATTCCCTCTGATTTATTGATAACTCTAGCTTAGAAGTCCAGCATGAATTAAGACCCACTTTTATTTTTAAGGTTTCATCATGAATATGTCTAATGATGTAGACTTGGCACCTTCTCTTGCAATATTTAAAACAAATTGAAAATTTAGAAACAGAATAGGAGTTTTTACTTTCAAAAAGTGACCATTTGAAAAAAAAAACGTAAAATGAGCTTGCAGTTCAATGATGCGATGTATCCATGGGGAGATAGGCCTTGCCAGTCTGTGGACTTGAAATTTATATAGGCAAAAAGATCCTATTCCTAAAAATAGGAATTTAGATTACTATATCATCAGTAGCATGATATCAATGCTAATATCAATAATTGACATGTTGAGTATGTTTCCTGTACTAGAAAATCTATAAGCTATCTCAAATTTGTGTGGTATTGAAATGTAGGGAAAGAACCTCTTGCCTATCTGAAGAGTGGTCCTATCATCCAATTTAGATATTTCTAGAATTCTGGCATACCACAGTAAAGGACAATTCCTTTCCCTCTTTTCAGAAAAGATGGTACATGGCTGATAAACTTATGCAGAATTTTATTAACAACTTTGATTCCTGAATGAAACCAGATGTGTGATTGTTACCTTCCCTATTTTTTCATGTTACTTCTGAAGCTATTGTGAAGTTATTGTGTGTTTAAATCTAATATTGAGTAGATCAATATCTGAATTCCTGCTCTGTGCTAAGCAGTATACTTGAATCTGTTTAATAAAAGATAAGCATTCTTATTATTTATTTTCAGTGATTTAGTGGTGAGAGGAGGATGTAAACTCGCAAGTTATGCAGGTGAGAAATTAGGTAGGTGGTGCTTAGAGAAGGCTGAATATATAACAAGGCAATATTTTGCTCCAAATAGAAAATTTTACTTTTTTAGTACAGTAGCCATTTGAAAAAAATTAAATAAGTTGGTTTACTCACAGGCATCAGGTGCAAAAGGTAGGAGAAGAGGTAAATTTCATTGTTTTCCTTAGCACTACTTAATATTCAGTGATGCCCATTATTATGGAATATATTTCAAATATATTAAGGGAGGTTTATTGCAAAATGTGTTCAGATGATCTCTAAGAGTCGCCAAAGCCAAAGTCTTAACAGTTTCAGTATTGCTGAAAAGTCCATGTCCAAGCCTCCTCTGAGACATAAGGCAAACTCTTTTTAACTTTCAGCTGTGGAAAATCAAAAGAAAGTCAAAACACTGCAACATATGATTGTAAACCTGTTGCTAAAGAAAAGGAGAATAGAAACCAGTGGGACCAAAGCAAGATAGAAACCTCACAGGCAAACATTAAATCTTGTAGCTCCATGTCTAGAGCCTTGGGCAAATTGTGGTAGATATGAACTCCAGACTGCTGGGGAGGCCCCTCCCCTAAGGCATTGCCAGGGGTTGTAGTCCTCATGACTTCTCCCTGAGGCTGGCTTTGTTCACTCCCTGCAGCTTTGTTCAGATGTTCGACATTCCTGGCTTCTCCAGTTTCCTGGAGTCTCTGAGGTATTTTTGGCTTCACTCTCATAGCGTCATGCAGTGCTCTCTCAGGGTTACACCACCTGGTCGTCCAGGCCTTCTTCTGAAATCTGTGTGGAAGCCTCCCTGATTCTCAGTTCTTCCATTCTGCGTGCCTGTAAAACAAAGATGATGCCAAGGTCCGTCACCAGCTTAAGTAGTAGGTAGACCTCTAAATGCCTGGGTGGCTGAAAACCGAACCAGATCCCAGGAAATCAAATCTGTAAGCTGCCTGTCTCTATCAGGGTGCCCTTGTGGTCTCTTCACAAAGCAAGACATTTCACTTTTGCAACTTTGAACTTTAAAGAGCTTTTCAGTATGACTTTATGATATGTCTTCAAGATATTTTTCCTGTTCTCCTGAGCCAAAGTAGTTGATCTCCTTTTAATATTAATCCTTTAAGCAGTCTGTCTTCTGCTCCATCTCTGGGAGCATCAGTTTTACAGGAGCTTGGTTTCTGATGAAACTAGAAACTTTTAATTCACTTAACCCTGCCACTTGTCCTTGGTTTTCAGTGTAGGGCTAGCTAAAAGGCACCAACAATGTGGGTGCCACAGCTTGAACATCAGGCTGCTTTGAAATTTCCTTCACCAAACTAATCTACCACACTTAATGTACTTCTCCCTCAAAGTCTCAGGACATAAGCAAAATGTAGACACACTTCCTGCTGGATCTCACCATGCATCACTCAGAACTGAACTCCCAGTGGACTCCTTGCTCCCAGTTGAACCCTCTTAAGCCCGATCTTTACTGGCTGCATTTACTCAGCATTCTGGTCTTGGAGCTCTGACAGGATCTCCCATCAAGCTTCTGAACCACATGGTCAGTAGTGTCACAGCAACCAGGCACTTCTGTGGTACCCAAATCGGTCTTAGTTACTTTGTTCACCGCTGAAACCAATACTCAATTCCCACAGAAAGGAGGAAGAGAGGTTTGCTTTTGGCTCACAGTTTGCAAGATTTTCAGTCCATGGTCAGTTGACTTTAAGGCAGGACAACAGTAGGGCATACTGGACACAGAGAAAGAAAGGAGGAGCTAAGGAGGAAGGTAAACCCTGCCAGCCCCCAGTGACCTGTCTC